TGGAGGCTGCATGTTCATGAGTGCTCAGAATCCTCACAGGAAAGAGAAATGGAGAAAAAAGACTGTAGCATGACCATGGTTTGAGTCCCATATCTGGCAGCTTGAAACTCATGCCACAACCCATTGGGGATGAGTTCTTTGTCCCTCCCTCTCTCTGTCTCTCTCTCCCTTTCTCTCTCTGATCAGTACATAGGCCCTCTGGCAATTTAAAAAAAAAAAAAAAGGCAGCTTTACCAAGTCAGTCCCTGGCCACCATTCCAACAGGGTATAATAAGGACTACCCACATGTGGCCTGTAAGTAGACATGAAGCCAGAGTGCCCTCAACCCACCCAACTAGAAACTGTCAGTATATGCCTTCCACACAGAGCTGAGGGACAATGTTTTACCCAACAAGGAATACCAGGAGGGCGAGGACACTGCAGAAGTCCTGGTCCATAGGAAAATGGCTTTCTGCCCGAAATCAGAAGACCTAGGTTCGCGCCTCAAGTCTGCCCTTAGCTCCGAACTGGACAGCTGACTGAGCCCTTCACAGGTCTGGTCTTCTCAGTGAAATGAAATGACCAGCCATAAACGATCTCTACTAACCCATGCAAGTCAACGAATGTTTCGAATGAAGACTATGACAACTTTCTCTTTTCAGGGGACATTTCCTGTTCACAACTTTCCAATTAGGTGATAGTCAGGCATGATGTCATTTCAGTTAGCAAAGAACCATGTACACAGTGGGTTGTAACCGGCTGCACCACAGGGCCCGGGTGTGCCATCGGCTATTCCATCTAGGCTTGTGTAGGCACATTCTGGGATGTCTGCAGTGACAGAGTACCCCAGCAACACGTTTCTCAGAACACATCTCCACCATCATGAGATGCATGGCAGGATTTAGTTCCATGACTATGCGTAACACAAGTAAGAAGACTATTCCAATTAAATGTCTTTATTAAACTTAATCCACAAGGGCCGGCCCATGGCCTGGTGGTTAAGGCAGCTAGATCCCACATGGCCCACTGTGGTTCAAGTTCCAGATCCAGCAACTTGAAAAACACGCTGGGCATGTGTGTATGCATGCCCAAAATATTTTTATTTTCTTTTTGGAGAGGTTTTTGCTATAGGGCACATGTGCTCACCAGAAAGAGAGAGATGGAGAGACAGAAAGAGAGAAATCACCCTCCAGGGGGGATGGCCATGCCACAGTCCCTTCTCCTCCACTCTCCTCTTGGGATCTTGAGCATGCACCTGGCGTGAGTTTAAGTCACCAGGTCCAGGACTCGAACTGTAGTCAACTACATGGGAGTCCAGCGACATAGACATTATGCCACCTGCTGGCCCTTTCCATGCCCAAAATCTTGAGGGGAGGGATAGATAGAGAAGGAGGGGTTGGGGTGTGACTATTCTCCAGTGGAGTGTCTTCTCTCTCTCTCTTCTCTCTCTGATAAGCACATTCATCCACTGGGACTAGTAGATGGCATAATGGCTATGTCGCTGGACCCCCATGTAGTCGACCGCGGTTCAAGTCACAGACCCAGTGGCTTAAACTCACACCAGGCGTGTGTGCATGCGTGCCCAAGATCCTGAGAGGAGAATAGAGGAGAAGAGATTGCAGCGTGGCCATCCTCCTTGGTGGGTGATTTCTCGCTTTCTGCCTCTTTGTCTCTCTGGTGAACACATGCGCCCTATAGCAAAAATCTCTCAAAAAAAAATTATTACTTTAAAAAAAGTTAAATAAAATTAGGGGCCAGTAGGTGGTATGGTGGTTGAGGCACTGGGTTCCCACATGGCCAACTGCTGTTTGAGTCCCAGACCTTCCATGAAAATCACACTGGGCATGTGGGCGTACATGTCCAAAATCTCAAGAGGAAAACAGAGAATGGATTATAGAGTGGCCATCACCCCTGGTGGGAGATTTCTACTTTCCCTCTCTCTGTCTCTCTCTGGTGAGCACATATGCCCAATGACAGAAACCTAAATTAAGTAATTCATCCATAAAATGTTACTTCTTATAATCCCTCATTCTGAAATTAATGCTTAACACACACATACACCACTAAACTCTCATCCAGGCTGCACAGTTCTGCTTTATTTTCTTTATCTCCCAGAGCTGTTCTTTTTTTCCTGGAACTAGGGAACGTTTTATGTGTTAAAATAAGGCTAGAGAAATAGCAGAAGCCAGTACTACCTATAACAATTCAAAAGGCCTCCGATTTTTCACTTAGCTGGTAGTGCTGACTTTATCTGGTTTCAAGAAATGTTTTTCTTTCTCCTGGATTAAATACTGGAGACAGGCAAAGAGCAGAGGAAGGAAAAACAAATAATGGTTTTACTAGGACTCTCCTCTGGCTTGGCTGTGATCCAGCTGTGGGGCCCAGAACACATTTCTTAACCTTTCTGGACCCCGGTTTACTGGTCTGTGTGATGCAGACCATAACACACTGGCTGCCCTGCTGCTCTCACACCCTCCACGCCGCCACCACTAGGGGGTTAAATAGGGAAACAGGATCAGGCCAGGGGCAGACAGGAGACAGCGTGGTTCTCTCACTGACTGCACGAAATGGACATTCGCCTCCCTTTCAAACACATCAACACCGTTACTGATGGCGGTGCTTAAACAGAAACCAGTTTAGAAATCCCACGTAGGTTGAATCAGGTCCAAAGCAAATGAAGAGTTGAAGCAACAGTTGAGTTCCCAACAGTCTACTTAAATCGATGGTAAATGCCTTTCTGGAAGAAACTTAAGGTGCTTCCCAGTCTTCGATGTCACAGTCAGCAGGACACCAGGCAGAAGGGGATGGTGGAGAGAGTGGGGTTGACTACCAGTTCAGACTCCAGGCCTAGCCACCTCACCCATCCACTGCTTTGGCTAACCTGAATCCTCCCAGTTTGAAACCTCTATTAATCTAAATTACCTCTTGGCTTCTCTGACCAAATAGAAAACAACTTCAGAAAATGACCTTATAGAAACTGAATCATGCTTAATTTTAATCCAAATAAATTATACTTTGAATAATTTATAATTATACATAATATTACAGGTAGAGTCTGTTTTCAATGGCCAATTAAGAAAGGCAGGGCCTCCACCTATACCACTCAAATGTGATGACTTCACCTCATACTTGTGGGTACTTCAGTACAAAAAAAAGAAGAGGAAAATGTTCTGTCTGAGTTTACCAAAGCCTGAGAAGTACCGAACTGGATAGAAGATTCTAGGACTGGGGCTATTCTTGACTGTCACCTGCATTTCTTATTATTTCATGTGCTTCAACACAGCCTCGGGGTTCCCGACTTCTATCAGTCAATGAAGTCATTAGTGAAAAGCACACCACTCCCAAGCTGAACTACCCCAGAGTTGGGATCCAGGAGGTGGGGAGGTCCCCACTGGAATTACTCTGGTTAACCAGTTCCATTCATTTGCCTTCCTCGTTCTGCCCAGAGCTATGGGCTGCATCTCCATTTATAAGGTCGGATGCACCCCCAAAACTCTGCGTCCCCACATCCTTGGAGACCTGCTCAGAGGCTAGCTCCTGGAATGCCG